GAAATAGAGATGTTTTCTTGTTATTATTCCATTAAAATAGTAACAGAAAATATCCTGTTTTTTCAACTTGCTAATATCAGGCTAGCAGTACTCTACAGTACCAGCAGAGGGAGATCTTTTATTTCAAGCCGACATTAAAATGATAAAAGGTTCAAAGGACAGCCTTTAAAGAGACATTAATAACACATTTACATGTAAATATGTATTAGCCCCCTAACTTAACCGTTTCTGGCATTGAAGGACCCTGGAATGTACTTCATACCTTCCTTGGTCACTGTTGACTTCTTGACTTTAAATACTGTATATTATCTCCCCCTGCTGATACTGCAGCTTCTGCATGTGTGTCCATTTCACACTTTGGAGAGATCAGTCGATATTGATTGATCGATATTGATAACTGGGGAGATTGTACCAGATACAGTAGAAATAAACAAGCGACCCGGAAACAACACACCAAATCCTAATCGCTGTTCCTTTCATTCATATCCCAGATGAGCCCCCACATTTGTTACCGGTCCCCAAACTCACACCTCTAGACCTCTTTGTGGGGACGTGACAGAATGTCCAACTGACAATGACCCCCGACATTTTTCTTAATTTCTATTGTCTAATTTTGGTGAACTTGTGTGAATTGTATCCTCAGATTCCTGACAGTTGTGGCACCTGGTGCGGTCTTCTGCTGCTTCTTCTCTGGTAATAACAAGACATTTACGAGAACTGAGAACTGCTGCTACCTGGATATTTTGTATATATTTTTTCAAAAATGATCTTTCTTCACCATTGCTCAATTTGAACTTCGGGCCATCGTGGCCATGTCTTTATTCCTAAATGCATGGAGTGGCTTGCACAGCTGATTAGATATTTGTGATAATGAGCAACTAAACAGTTTTACATGGTCATGAATGTACTTCTGTGTTGTTTTCACAGGGGGTTAAAAATAGAACATTTTCTGACAATTAACAAACATTTTTGTTTTTAATTATTTGATAAAATCACAGTAAAGAGATGCCGGTACTTTTTTCATGAGTAATTTTACACTTTAAGGAGCCGTTCTGACAATTTTCTTTGATTTACTGCAGAAACTTTTCATTATAATGTAGAAAAACTGAGGGGTCTTCTTGAAAATTCATAAGAAATATCAGGGATCCGATGTCCATTTGAAGTTTTTAATAGGGCAGTAGTTGCATATGGGTCTGCCATGCTTAAGCTCAAAGGGGACTGAATATTGCCCACAATGTAAGAAGAGTTTGGCGCGGCTTATTTAAAGCCTCAACATGCATTTTAGATACAACCCAAACTAGTCTGCTCATAGATTCTTCATCATTAATTAACATTTACACATCAGATAAATCTATTTTTATTAACAGGTTATGTATCACCGTTCTTCAATATTGTTAGTTTAGACTTTACCCAGATGTTTTAGACCCATATCAAACACCACTTTTAATTTTTAAAGTCTTTAAAAAGGCTTCAGTTTAATCACATAGACAGGAATCATCCTCAAGGGTTTGATCAAAAACAATCAGCATGAAACATTTACTCTCATTTCACCATGAAGCTCATTTTTTCTCTTGCACTACAAATCAGGAGTATCCCTGTCCTTAACAGTGAAGCACTTTCACCCTTTCATAAAAGCCCAAACTAGCTCAAAGCACTACCTGAAACAATCAGCAGGACAAAGTTGAAAAGGCTTAATGATCATAATGATTAGTGAATGAATAAATCTGCATCACATCTATTTTCATTAAATATATCACATCAAATTTATAACAAGCTGATAAATACCAGTCCCCATGTACCCACAGCTCTTGTCTTCAAGGCTAACGAGGCACTGATCCCTCTGACCGTGTGTGCTAAAACTCAGTTTGTGTTGCAGTGGTGATAACACTTAGGCCTGCTCTGATAACACTTAGGCCTGCTCTGATAACTTTATCTTTGCTCCTCACAAACTGGCCCAGTCACAAACAGATCATCTGTCCCAGCCCCTGAAACCTAATCACACACACACACACACACACACACACACACA